AATAATATACCCACCTGAGTGTTTTTTTTCTAGAGCTATTTTTTCCCCAGGTTTATTGTACTTTACTTAACTGCTTTAGGAGCTGTTTCATGTGCATCAGCATCAGCATTTGAATTTCATCTCAAAGAGAGAACCTCTGTCTGAACCAGAAGCTCTGCAGGAAGCTCAGCACAGGAATGCAGACGACCCAGAAACAGAGGTGTGTGTGTGTGTGTGTTTGTGTGTGTGTTTGAGGCTGTGGGTCCATCATGTGCTGTGGAGAGAAACTAATAACAATGCCTTGATGTAGGTTGAAAACATTCATATGTTATCTACTGTATTTATACAGAAATTAGGGCTTTTTAAGTAAGTATATTTGCAAAGGATGGTGATAGGTAGAATTTGAGTGTAATTTCATTTTAAAAAATAGCCTGTTAACTAAAAATGAACATAATCAGTTAATGTTAGAGGTGAATAGAAATGATGTAGAATATAACTATTACCAACTGGCAGCAGATCATCATCTGATTTCACATTCAGCTCAGGTGTCTCAGAAAATCCCTGCATTTTACAACAATAGAGCATAAGAATGCAAAGTTATTTTGAAGTCAGCCGTCATGTTTCACATTTTTTAAAAGTGCGATCAAAGTAAAAAAAAAAAAAACCCGGGTCTTCGCTGCACCAACCTTAAAGAATCATCTGAAAATTCATTACCATAATCTTTAGTAAGTTCTCAGTCAGAAATCCTGTTATGTAAAACTGAAAGCAAGGTACAGTTACTCATACACCGACTAAAACTTTGCAGTTGAGTTCTGTAAAACATGATGAAAAGATTACATGCTAACATTGACTGTCCGTGGTTAGAAATAAATAAAACACATGAAAAAAATTGCGCCCAGGACCGGAAATAAGTGGAACATGTCAAAGCTCGGTTGACAGATGAAACAGAAGAGGGGGTGATGCTTAAATATAGTGCTGGGTCGGTCTAAACATAAGATTCCCGTTGTGTTTAATCAAAAAGAATTTTTCAGTGAGAGGGAACACACGGTGTGTTTGTGTGCAAATGGGTGAGTGGTTTCACTGCTGATGGGAGAAGTGCAACGGCTCTGAGGAGGAGCCTGGGGAGGATTGGGATATCTCAGAGCGGATTCTGCGGCAGATGGTTGTTTGCCTTGTCGGGCTGAGCAGCGCGCCCTTGTCACTGACCCGGTGTTCCCCATTTCCGGCACGGACAGAAGAAAAAAGGGTCAGTTCATTTCGAAATTGAAGTATGCCCTTGGAGGAGGAAAGCCATGACTTGTATGGCCCGCTTTCAAGAACATTTCTATTTGTGTTATCACACCTGGATCTGCTCTGAGGTGCTGATGACCACTGTTAAGCACTCTTATGAGGTACTGCTGAAAACAGCATCTGGCTCCAGCAATTAGACTCATCATCTAAATGACGTTGTGCACCACACAACAGGCACGACACAAATAAAACACACTGAAAAGAATAGGATTTAAGCGGAATGAAATATTTATAACGCATTTGGACCAAATCCCGTCATGCAATCGCCTCTGTAATTTCCTTTGACAGTGAGGCAAAGTGAGAAAGGCAGCTGCTACCTCCTGAGATGCCTGTCGACAAATCCTGGCTACATTAAAACTTCAGTGAGGGAGGTGACAGTGTCAGGTGCTGCATTGTGGAGGAGTGCAAACTGCAGGTGGAAAATAGCGTGTGAGATCTGCTGGTGTTTGGCTTTGTCCATTGCTAGGTTTCTCTACTGACATCTAATGGTTGAAGATGTAACAGATCAAAAAGAACGACCGAAAATCAGAAGGTTGCAGGGGGCTCCCCAAGTAAATCCACTTTTACAGGGGAACTCAGGATAATATGTTATCACATCTTCTCACCCTACTATTTATTTTTTACCCTTTCTCACTCTAAATAATCAATTTCTCCATTTTTTCACACCTTTTGTATCCTTCCTAGGCAGCACTTTATCCAGTCACGGGAACTGACATGTTACTGGTTTTCATCATTAATTAATCACCTAGCACGCCATCTATTCTGTTCTTCACTTGAGACACTCTTACTGTCAGTAAAATGTAAAATACAATTCTAAATCTGGATAAACATGTTATATTATTATTATCATTATTATTATCATTAACAATTCAGAACCATTGGAGGGTAAACAATATTCCACAAGCAATTAGACTAGATGCCGGGTACTCCGGACGAACACACAGTCACTCACTGGACCAATTTAGAATACCTAAAGTGCATGTTCTTGGATAGCTGAAGGAAGCCAAAACAACTAAAGTGAACTAATACATGCACAAGAAGAACATGCAACCTCCACTAGAAAGGCTGCAGCAGGGATTCAAAGAGATGACGCTAGCCGTAATGCTGCACTATTATCAATATAATAATCAGTAACAGTATTTGTATTAGTGTTTCCACCTATATTATTTGGTAAATCCATGATACAATTAGAAATGATGCATCCCTCTTATTCTGCTGAATCTGTGGCTATCTACTCTGCTTTAAGTATAGATAACACAAACCCCAATATAAATCTAAAGTGTTACTGCTTTAAAGGTAAAACACAGCGCAGAAATTGAACGTAGCGTCTGATGTTTGAAGTGCTTGAAGGTTAATTATTCAAGCTTTCCTCTGCCTCACAACAAGCGCAGAACAGTGGGATAGCGTGGTGAGCCGCGGCTTCTTTATTCCCTCAGAGAGAGTCACAAGTTTAAAATGGTTGTTCTGCTATAATTGAGATGCACATGTTGTCTGAAGTCTTCACGCCTCTTCGGCGGCAGCAGAAAATGTAGGACAAGCAAGAGCACAGCAATCAGTGGCACGATTCTAATCAGCAACAAGACTAATCTGTTCTTTGTTGTATTGATGTATTGTCAGAGTGAACTATGGGAGCAGATTTGCTGGTTCATCTGTTTAAAGACATGTATCTGTACTCCACAATGACTGTACAGAACAAGTTGACATTTCAGACACAACAGAAACCAACAACAGAATTTGTTTTCTGCAGATATGGAGAAGGAAATATTCATAAATAGTTCAGGTGTAGGGATTGTCTTTATAAGAATTCCATAAAGATGTCCCGGAAAACTTAACCTTGACTGCATTAATAACATCCTCCCTTGTCTTATTATTAGCAGTCATGCAACATTTTGACCCAATGCCCCTACATTTAGATTTCATGGACTGCTTTGCAAAATTAATGGCTAACATTTCTAATAGCTCACGTACTTAATAAGAGGCACTTTAACAGTCCGATGCAGTCATTTCAAAAGCAGTACAGCCAAAATCTTCTGCAATGCCCCTGTGCATATTTGACCTCCGTCCGTAGTCCGAATGAACAAAACTGAGAAAATTGTGTTCAGGCTTGTGAAGACAAAGGAGGCAAGACTTAAAAACACTGCATATACACTGACATTACAATGTCACTGAAAAATGACCAAATATATCTATATGCAGGCTGCAGATTTTTAAGTTCTAGATATTTCATGTCATACCTTTATTACCCAGCTATAGTCCATAACCTTTATGAAAGAGCCGTGTAGTAGCTGCAGCTTTATGAAAAATAAATCTAGATATCTAGATTTACTCAGGTGTTGCTGAGTATGTATGCCTATCTGTACAGTCCTGAGAGGAATTTCATATCATTGCATGGAATTTGAAGGATTTACATTTAGAATAAAAACAACAACAACAACAACAAAAAGAAGACCCTTATCAGACATTAACCTCTTTTAAGCCTTCTCGACAAATCCATACAGACATATCCTGTTGTTAAATATTGGCCGTCTTCAGTTTGTAACTAAACAAATCGTCTCAATTATGAAAGTGTTTTGGGATTCCCTTTTAGATGGTTGAAAAGTTCCACTTCTAATTATACTAATGTGAAAATCCATTTGAGACTCCCTCGCCTTTACAATCTAAACACAGTCTGCCAGCCAGACGGCATTTTTGTATCTAGTACGGTTTGTTTTGCACGAAAGAAAAATAACTATAGGTTTTACAGCATATGCATATCTGTCACTATTCATCCACATGATGTAAAACATTAATCATAACAAATCATCTTCCGACAAAAGATGCTAAATTGCTTAAGCAGTGTAATGCCCGTTTGGCAGGTAATCCAACCATTTATACTTCTAAACCCAACAGTCTTTTAGGAGGTCATAACAAAATAGAAGGTAAGTCTCTAAACTGGTTAAATCTTCTGTCGTGATGTCCCAAAACTGTGTGTTGTTTGCAGGTTTGGTTCAGTGAGAACCTGCTTGCAGCCCACATCTGAGGGAGCTCTGTGGTCATACTGTGCCATAAGTGTGTTGAACGGTGAGATGAGATACATAATGAAAGCTGGCACATCCGTGGCTTTGCTAACTCACAGTGTGATAACCTTGCTCCCAGTAAATGTGTTCTGAACAAGCAGCATTGAAACAGAAATGAACTACCAACCAGTTATGACCAGCATGCATTTGCTGAGGTTCTTTCCCTTTATACAGAACCACAATTGCAGAGACAACTATGCACGCCAGAAGCAAAAAATTAAAATCTGATCATGATGCTTGAGAGCTCCCCTGCACTTCAATTTTGTCTGATTGTCTCATTAATTCATTTCATTAATTTAACTCATTAATTCATGCACAAAAGCAGCAAACATTGCAAAAAGGCAAACAATAAAAGGTACATTGCTGATTAGTTTGTGTTTCTTTTTATTTTTCTATTTTAGTGACAACAAAATAACCTCCCGTCACTGCTGCCATATTCTGGGCAATCTGGGCAAAGAAATTGTTGAATGTGTCATTTCCATACAGTGTAATTGTGTCCAGTAGGTTGATCAAATCTGCCTTCTTAAAAATGTTTTCGCATACACATACTTAATTGAAAGTGTTACTGGCATATACAAAGAAAGAAAGGCGGATCTGGGAGGGGAGCAGCTGATGTTTTGATGATCTGTCATTCGAAGCCCCGCCCACCGCGCCGGGTTGCATCAGAATATCCGGGTGACGTCATCATCCCTCACCCGGCACTGGCTCTGCCTTCACTTCACACACACACCCGGCTTCAAACCAGCTTTGAAAGAAGACAAGCTCTCTATTTGTTATGGCCGAGCATAGTGTCGTGGAGAAAATGAGCAAACTGGAAGTGGACGGGGTTAAAAAGGTGATTCGGTTTCTTGACCGGCTACAATAAAGTCATTTAAGGCACCCGGCAGCTAGCCTAGCCTGTAGTGAAGTTCATGCTCTCGTTTAGCCAGTAGCAATGTGCTCCTAGTTCTTCAACTATCTGGCTAGCATGAATCATTTCATGTCGGTTTTATTTAAATGGTCGATTTCAGGCTAAAAAGGAGAAACAAAACATAGATTCGGGTTTGTCTCAGTGTGTTTATGTCTTACTTTCTCTTTGCTAGGGTGCGTACAGTACCGCGAGGGCGCTCTCCCTGTTCTGGCTAACGTGCCTGCATCATACACACAAATGAGCCAAACTCGGTTCCAAATTTCAGAGTTTAACGTTTAGTTGCTGATTGATCTTTTTACATAAGAGTAACCGATCTTGGAGTTATTTGTTATGAATTGTTGAAACTCTTTTTAGAATTCGGCTCCCAAATTGCACCAATCGTATCCTTTAGAAAGACACAAATATTACAAATGGGCAACAACATGTGCACATATGGTGGTAAATTGGAAGTTATCAAGCCACCAGAACAATCTAGCTTTACCACTACTATACTGGCCTTAACTTGATTTTGTCATGTTTTCATCCTGCTCAAAGGACTGTATATGTCTACATGAAAATACCTCATATGAATCCCTTATGTTTTGGACTCTGTGGTGTGTGGTATTCAGATCTGCAAAGAAAAACATATATGCGTGGATTATCATAGCAAGCATGCATCTCTTCAGTCAATTATTGTTTACTTCATGGAGCAATATTTTTGACAGGTGGCAAACGACAGTGGTAAGGATGGAGGGAAGAAGAAGGCCAAAAATGCTGCTGGGGATGCTACAACCAGGGCTGAGGTGAGCTTACACATTATATTTGAGAAGTTGTTTAAGTGGTATAACGTAGGAAAAAATCCTTTTTTGTAAGAGGTTCCAAAACTATGGTGTATAATTACGCAGATCCATGTTTTTGAACTCTTATTTGTCGTTAAGCTCAGTCACACTCTGATTTGATGTTTTTTTATTTGAGCATTTTTGTCATTATTTGTCTTTATTTGTTCATTACTTAAATTGACATAAAAAAGTTGTTTTTTTCTGAATTTGTTGAGACAGAGGTAATGTCCTTAGTTTTCCTCCAATATCCAAAGAGAACATTTTTAAACTACCTTAAAGAACGTGCCATTTCCTAGTTATTCCACCAGCGAGATGTAAAATTTTTATTAAGGACACTGGTGATATCTTCAGAACAGTGTTGTGTATAATGAAACCAGTTTTTCATGCCCAGACCTTCTCATATACTGAGCTGGGATTTCAACTCTGGCTTCTGAAGGGTGACTATAATAATTCAGAGTTTTGGTTAAAATGCGCACTGGATAAACTAATTACTAGTAGATGAAATATAAAGGATGGCACCAAATATGACAGAGCTCTCCCTAATTGACTTTTAATGTACTGGTTGATTGATTGATTTTCTTTCCTGTCCATAATCTGTCAGTTAATTGAACTGTCAGTACTTCTGCCCAATGCTTCTTTCAGCACAGAGCACATTAAGTGTTCAGGCAAAGTTTCCATGTAGGAGTTCACAGAAGGAAACAGACCCCTTTTCATTACACTGAAAACTTTAAGATCATTTAGCCTGCTTCTTTTGTACACTGCAGGCAGGAGTTTCTAAACCTATTTGTTTGTAGTGACTAAAAAAAATCATTCAACTCACTAAACATGGTCAGATTGCTGAAGTTTCACGGTTTCCATACATCATGTGCCTCTTCAAATGAACTGGACCGATGTGTGTGTCCTCTGGCAGACATGATTTAAGGAAAGCACTGCTGCACACACCTATCCGGCTGTACAGATCAATATTTACAATCACGCTGCAGCTATAAACTACTCACATTTTGAAACTAGGTGATACGAATGGCAAACTCTTTGCAAGGTCGACTTATATTCTAGATCGTAACAGTGGCTCTTTAAGCCAAGGCTGGTGGTTGATTTAGACCTCCGATTGCGTCACGTTGTCTGTGTGATGCCGTTTTGTTAGACTGCCTGTAGAGAGGCCTGCACACGGGAGCAATGGATGGGGTCAACTTACACAAACAAACGCATGGTTGTGACTTGTCAGTTTAAATTAAACATTAAAAAAGCAAATGAGGCAAGCTTTAGAGGTAGCGATTCAACAAATAATACTCGAGTGCTGGATGACATCCCAACCACCTGTAATGTCTCGATGACCCAGCTGATGGGCACTTGTCAGTGAGCCTTTTTTTTTCTCCCTTTAGAGGAGCCTGTGAAGAGTGTTTTGCACACTGAGGGCATTATCCACTCCCTGTCCGTTAACCCGCAAGTCTCGTTTTCTGTCCAGCTGTCTCCTCCCCCTCAGTACATCGACGAGCGTCTTAATTTGTATGCAAAGCTGAAAGCCGAGCACGACGCTCTGATGGCAGAGAGGGCTGCAAAGAACAGCAGAGCCATCAAGGTGACACTGCCCGATGGGAAGGTGGTGGAGGCGGAGTCCTGGAAGACCACGCCGTACCAAGTGGCCAGTGGAATCAGGTGGGTCCAATCTCGGGGCGGCCGTAATTATTATGATATTACAGCTATCTGCAAAGTGGCCTTAAAGCGAGCGGGGAACAAAAACCTCGTTGCCAGAGATGAGCTGTCAGGTTTATTTATGCTGCCCGTCATAAAATTTTACTGATTTAAAAAGGCTTCGTAGCACCTTCATTATAAAACGGCGATTGCAAATGACACCCGTCAACCTTTAAATGTTAAGTGAATGAATGAGTGCGGTCTAATGGAAGCCTCCGACAGAGGCTTTTTGTTTCACCTGCCATTATATTTTTCATGTATTAGATGTTCTTACACAGCATATACAAATGTGTCCCTCTGCAGTTTAAGTATGCAGCTGGCTGCGGTTTTGTTACATCTTTCATTTCTGAACATGCAGTCAAGGCCTCGCTGACAACACGGTGATTGCCAAAGTAAACAACAGTGTGTGGGACCTGGACCGACCTCTGGAGGATGACTGCAGCCTTCAGTTACTGAAGTTTGATGATGAGGAGGCGCAAGCTGTAAGTGTCTTTTCTGGATAAAGAAAAAAAAAACAGCCGCTGGCTCCATTTCTAAAACATTAGAACACTTCTCAGAAACATGTTTTTTAAGGAACGATTTTGAATTCTCTGCTCGGTATGCCCTTACACAACAGTTTTTGTGTAACCGTAAAATATCAGAAAATACATTCAAACCACTGGCAGTATTATCATTTACTTTAACTTTTTCTCTGTGTGTTGTCCAGTTTTCTGAGATCTCAGCTAATTTTCCCGGGACTGCAGATGATCAGTTATTAATGCGCAAAGAGCTTTTTATTTCTTTTTCCCTATCGATAACGTCTCCAGGGCAAACACAAGTTAATACGGACAAAGAGTTATTTCCACCGTCCGTAGATTTAGTTGCATCATGTAAAATGCATTTGGAATCATTAGCGTTTGAATGCTAATGAAAAACCCGCTGCTCGGTAAACAAATGCAAGCACGGCACACGCAGGACGATTCACAACCTTAAACCCTCTGAGCAGATTTGAAAGCTTAAACCTGCTCATTTATTGTAAATAACCGACTCTGCTCTTAGCGTTTAAAGAATTGAAATCGATGTATCTTGGACAAAAGAAGGTGCATACAGATGTGTTCCTCAGGTCTACTGGCACTCCAGTGCTCACATCCTGGGCGAGGCCATGGAGCGGGTGTATGGGGGCTGCCTCTGCTACGGCCCCCCCATCGAGAACGGCTTCTACTATGACATGTTTTTGGAGAACGAGTGAGTAGCGACGACTTATTCTTTTTTTTTCTTCCTTCGGCTTTGTGGCTGTTATTAAAACCGTTGTCGTCCTTTGTGAGTCTCTTTGAGCACTTCAGGGTGTAACGCGTGTGAAACAGGTTCTTTAATCCAAGGTTTTGCAATGACAGCGATGCTGCCAAGCTGGATTTAATTTTCTTTTGGGTGTGGGTAGGAGTGTATCCTCACCACGCTCACTACAGATTTGCATATAGCTTCGGTTTGGCTTTGAAGTTTTAACACATTTTGCAGGTAAACAACTTTGTCTCCTGACCTCCCTCTGCACTAAGTGCTTTTCCTCACACTGCACGTGAGCTTGAGCGTTGCTGTCTAATTCCTCAACCTCGCTAATGAAGTCATTTTATGCTAATGGAATTCTTCCTGTAGTTTTTTTTTTTCCAAGGGTATTTTGACATTGCTTAAGCCCTAAAGCCAAGGACTTAAAGTATTTGTCCATCCTAGGCAGAAGGGCATGGTGGACAACACATTAGGTCACAGTGCCTTTTGCAAACTGCTGAATGCTGCATTAAGCAAAGGAAACTGTGCACATTAACACATGGTTTGAGGGGAAAAGCTGTGTTGGATGTTGTTGTTTTCTGCCATGTTTATTTCTTGCCATCGCACACACAGCGGCGTATCGAGCAATGACTTCCCCGGTCTGGAGACCCTGTGCAAGAAAATCATCAAGGAGAAGCAGCCTTTCGAGAGGCTGGAGATAAAGAAGGAAACACTCCTGGACATGTTTAAGGTACGTTTAATGACTTACCATGCGTGCAAAGAATGTGGGTTTTATGTCCAGATGTTGAAAAGCGCCTCTTTTCATCTACAGTACAACAAGTTTAAGTGCCGCATTCTGAATGAGAAAGTCACCACGCCCACTACCACCGTCTACAGGTGAGTAGGATGACCAAAAAACAAAAAGGGCTTCAAGGCACTTCAAAAAAATCGAACACCAGATTCATTTTGTAGCATCTTATATTTGCTGGGGACCTATACTTTTGGACACAGTGGAACACTAACTTTTTTGCTCAGTCAACATCTCAAAACCTTCTGTCATTCTTTTCCATCCCAAACAAATTAGAACTACCCTCTTTTCTGGTTTAAAGCCGACATGCTCCTTTTGAAAACCTCATTTTGTTTTCTGAAACAACAACTTAGATGGAACAGAGCAATATTTAGCATTCATCAGGCAGTGAGAGAGGCAGCTATGCTCAGAAGCTTGAGGCTTGTCATGCCTCTGCATGTAAATACATACGGTGCAGTTTTGCTGAAAAGCCCAATTATAATTGTAAATACTTTTAATGGACAATTTCGGAGGGGGGAAAAGATAACAGAATCTAACGCGGCCATCTAGCAGCTGAATTAAAACCTCCTGGTCTGCGTGGACCTGGAGTGGGCGCACGCTGGCACAGAGGAGATTGTAATTAGGTTCTGCAAATTTGCCTCCGACAGACGTCTTTGCGAGGCTGTTTTTAATTCTCCGCCGAAGACCGAGCCGCCGTTCTGCTGCCGCACTGTTAGCAGTAATTATCAGCTCCGCTTTAGCCGCTGTTTTGAAGAGCGGGAACAATTCTCCCGAGGGAGAAAAACCGTCTGACGGTTCTGTCTCACCAAAAGGAAATCCTTCAGCATCGGCTCCCTCTGTTCAGACTGTGACCTCAAGTTTCCACACAGACGCACAACAGGCCCACATCCTTTTTTTTGTTAAATAGTGCCGAACATGTTAATCAAGAAACAATGAATAATTATTATACTATTTGTTAATGATAAAACAGAACATTTAAGTCTATTTTTTTAACGACTAACCTCTTTGAATATCAAAGACAGGATGGGAATGTCCAAAAATATCAAGGATTGGCTTTTATTCCTTTTTAGTCCTTTTCTAATTGGAATTATTGGCCAAACATAACATGCATTTGTTGTCATACTCTGTATTTGCTTTTGCCTTCAATAAAACAAGGAAAATGAGACTCACTGAAATTCTTTGTTTCAGATGTGGTCCCTTAATCGATCTGTGTCGAGGTCCTCATGTGAGACACACTGGGAAAATCAAGGCACTCAAGATCCACAAGGTAGGGTTTTTTGTATTAAAACTGCAATACATGAAGCATGGTTGTGTATATTTTGTTTGTCCCCATTTCCAGAGTCAAGTTACATGCTTTTTTTCCCTTCCAACTCTCTGGGGATTTGGTGGACTCTGAAGGAAGCTAAAAATTGATATTCTCACTTTTTGGTGTGCCAGAATTCTTCTACTTACTGGGAGGGAAAGGCAGACATGGAAACCCTCCAGAGGATCTACGGAATCTCCTTCCCTGACCCCAAAATGCTCAAAGAATGGGAAAAGTTTCAAGAGGAGGCCAAGAACAGAGATCACCGCAAACTAGGACGGGTATGAACTAAATTGCAACTGACTTGTTTGATTCAAAACTGTTCCTCAAGTGTGTCAAAAAGGAATGTTGATTCGTTTCGATCTCCACTGTAACACAATAGTTTGTGCTGTCGGTTGTATCAGATTGAAACTGGCATACCTTTTGTCTCAGGTATGATAAAAAAAAAATCGGTTTTAAAAGGGTTCAGATGAGCCATTTCCTGTGTCAGCGGTGACATTAGCGAATCGCAATTAAAGCAGGCTCGCTGCTGTTAGGTAATAGTTGTTGCAGAGAGCTGATGTTTACGGGTGTATTGTGTTGCCATTGACTAAATGTAATCACCCTTGCGTAACAGCAAGCTAAGCAGCAAAATGAGGACGTTTGCAGACTGGAATTAATGTGACGAGCCATTTCATTGTGTCAAACCGAAGCTAATTTGACCCCTGATGTCACTTTTCCATTTTCCATAACACTCAGGAGCAAGACCTCTTCTTCTTCCACGAATTGAGTCCGGGGAGCTGCTTTTTCCTGCCAAAGGGGGCCTACATCTACAACACGCTGATTGAGTTCATCAGAGTGAGTCAAAGTGGTTGGATCTGCGAAGGGATGAACGCTTTAGTCTGGCTCAAAGTTTTGACAGACACGGAAGAGTATTTACCTCCGTTGGAAGGATATCAGTTTGATTTATTTATTATTTATAAATACACCTCCATAGCATTGCTGCTACAATACATAAAAAAAGTCACCATTGGTTGGCCCTATTCCAGTTCCTAATTTTGAAGCCCATAAAAACACTGAGTCCTTAGTGAATGGCGGCGGGCTGCATGGTGGATGGCTGTGTTGAGCAGATAGGAGTTTAAGCAATATTTTTTGGAAGAGTGCACAATTTCGACTCTTTACGTTGGCCATATGCACGAGTTAAATGGAGGGAGTCGCTTATTTTTATTAGACCATATTGTGATCAGAGCGTCCCAGTGAGTGTCTGCAATGTGGAAACGGTGTTTATTTATTTAATCTGCAACAGTACACAAAGCAGAGTTTTTTTAATTCAAGTTGCACCAATTTTTTAAAGCTTTTTTTTATTTTATATGAATGCTTAAAAGAAGCAAAGAGCTGAAACTAAATCTGGCAGTGTCCCACCCCCTCATGTGTCCATTTCTTATATTAGTCATGTTAATTAATTTATTTTCTTTCTTTTTTCCGATTGACCATGTGGTTTTGGCCATATTCAAGATGCAGTGTCACATTGTTTTGAAAAGAATCATTTTAATCAGGACTAAATGCTTCAATTTGACCTCTATACATTTTTATATCTGGACAGTAAAATGATGATGACTTTAGTTCCAGTGCTCTGCCACAAACACAAATGGTTGTTATTTATGCTTTCTCGGGACAGCACTGATTACTCCTGACCCGACGACAGAAAAACAACGCTCACTGTGATAAGGAGCTTGTTGTCAGCGCTGGACGCATTCGAAATAAATTGAAAACCGTGCATGTAATGCATCGGGCGGCAATAAGGAGAAACTATTTTGCTGATTTAACAGTCACAAATTGCTTTTCAATTGGCTGACACAATGGAAAAATACTTTGAAAGCAATTTCTCTTCTAATGTAGTAAAATGACCAAGGGGATTTTTGAGGGATTGAGGTTTTGTCCAAATGACCCAAAAACTGTCACAGAGAAGACTTAAAATGAATTGCATTAGGTTTTATTTCATTAGCACATTATTCTGTGATAAATGAAACAAGAAACGGATGTTAATCAGTGAAAACATCAAAGGAAATAGAAAAGACCGAGATGCATTTTGTCCCGAATAGGACAAGACAGGCTGTATGAATAGAATAAAGTGCTTTAAGGCATTTTAAAAGCAGACCACATTGAATGTCCTGCTCCACTTTCTTCCAGTAAATCCTCAGCTGTTGACAGAAGCCGGTTTAGCCAGAATCCGGCGAGTGTCCTGAGAGATTTCTGCTTTTTTTCCTTTCGCCTCTCCAAAGCGAGACGTGTAAAATTCATGAGAACCCTCCTGCTCCGTCTCTGACAGAGCGAGTACAGGAAGAGGGGCTTCCAGGAGGTGGTGACACCCAACATCTACAACAGCAAGCTGTGGGTGACCTCCGGGCACTGGCAGCACTACAGCGACAACATGTTCTCCTTCGAGGTGGAGAAGGAGACGTTTGCCCTCAAACCCATGAACTGCCCGGGCCACTGGTGAGGCTCCTTTTTTCTGTTTCATCTGTATCTGTAGCTAAAACCATTTATTTATTTATTTATCGGTCTCTGAAAACAACACATTCCTTTACAAAAAAATAAATAAATGAATAAAACGTTTGCTCCTTAAAGCACCGTGAATAACCTCACTCCCAAAGCCCTCTGCCAGCTTCCCGGTGGGCTGACTCAGTCTTTGTAAAATAGCTTTATATGTCAGTGCTACTGAAGCCATCCGACAGCTCGGCTGAACTTGCATTGGAGTGTTTATTTTGCTGTGTTTTCACTTCTTTAATGGCAACCCCATTTGTTTTACTTCTAAATGCTGCGTTGCAGCTTATGGTTCAAATCTGTCACTGCTCAAAACCTTTTATCACCCGGAACATTAAGTTCCAGTCTATCTACTCTCATTAAATCCCGGCTGAAGCTCGGAAACGAGCTTTCCATTAGCTTTTGTGGCCGTGACTTCTATTGGGTGAGGAGTTTGGATATTCGGAGCGGTAGTGGAAATCTCCTCGGCGCTGGGAGAGGTTGAAGTTGTAATTTTACCCTTTTCTTGTTGGCCCGGTTGCCACCAGCCTGATGTTTGCGCACCGTCCACGCTCCTGGAGGGAGCTGCCCCTGCGCATGGCCGACTTCGGCGTCCTGCACCGGAACGAGCTGTCCGGAGCCCTGACCGGCCTCACCCGAGTCCGCCGCTTCCAGCAGGACGACGCCCACATCTTCTGCTCCATGGACCAGGTGAGCAGACCCCTCTGATGGAGGCGTGATGGGGAGAGGTTGCCCCGGAGTGATTGAAGTCGCACATCAAAGTCTGTTTACAGCAGGGCCTTCCACACCGCGTACAGTACGTGGGAGGAGGGGGAAAAAAAAGCAGCATAAAGCTGTCAGTGGCTCAGAAATTGCCTGGAGTGGCTGCTGGAGGCAGGGACGGCTGGGGTTGAAGACCACACTTTGGAAAATAAACATTTCTGGTGGTCTGGAGTTGCACTCTCGAGTCAGCTGGCCAAACTGTCAAGCTCTTGCAGTGTTGATAAAGCCGGGGCTGGGTTTTGACAGGGGAAAGGGGAGCTTCGGCTGTGTCAACTTTTGACTCTTTAAGAGCACACTAGCATTCAAAGGTTTGACATGACGCTGGTTCAAACATTAGCCATGGTTTCACTTCACATTTGCCAATATGTTTTCTTCAATCTTTGTTTTATTTAGGCAGTTCAGCTACAATTTTCAGCGGGGAGGGAGGGAGAAAAACACTTAAGACACTTAATTACTCCAGATTTTCTACCTTTCACGCCCATCTGCTTGCTAAGAATTGAATGGATTGGATTTAAATGCACACAGGATTTAGAAAATAAAAAAATAAAATCTTCCGTCTGTCGTTATCGATCCCAGATTGAGGAGGAGATTAAGGGCTGCCTGGACTTTCTGAGGACTGTGTATGAAGTGTTTGGCTTCACTTTCAAACTCAACCTCTCCACCAGACCAGAGAAGTTTCTGGGAGTACCGGAGATGTGGGACCAGGCCGAGAAGGTGAGTTCAAGGCCTCGCATTTTTTTTTTTTCCATATATCAGAAAAACCTCAACCTTCCACTCAACCTTAATCCTCACTGATGAATTAAGGAGAGAGGATGTATGATATTATCTACACGGCGGCTCCACCGCTGCTTCACAGACAGCGAGGGTGAGATATGTGGAGGCAAAGGAAATTTAAATTGAATCCTTTTTACCTGAGTGCATGCGTGCGTGTAGATCTGCCGTCAGATCTGAGGATGAAAGTGCTTTTCTTCCCCCCCCCCTTTCCAGAGATTCCAGAGCAGGCCTCCTCTCTGAAGACCCACCCTGTACTCTGTGCCGTTCATTTATTCATTTGTTCAGTGTGTGTCCGTGGTCAGCTACTGAGCACCAGCAAAGGACTACAGGAGCGTGTTAATTAGCGTGTCGTAAGCACCCGGTGCCACCCAACGACTTAAAGACAGAAAGAAAAAAGCAGATTTCAGGCTGGGAGCTGATAAAGGTGCCACACGCCGCTGCATAATACTGTCAGGAGCTCTCGTATGAAGGACATATAACTGGTTTCTTCGTCTGCCGAGCCTTTACGGTTCGGCTGTGAATGGAAGAAAAGTCATTTGTTGGAAGAGACAAAAAGCCCGTGTTGCGTTTTCTATCAGGGTGGGATTTTTTTTTGTCTTCTTTCCTTTCATGGCCTTAATTTTGAATGCAATTGTAGAGTTGTTTTACTCGTAAAATACCAGCGCGGCTGTCTGCGGTGCACTTGTAGCGCATCATTCCTGCCACAAAGGTGTTGGTTTTTGTTTCCCTCTCCTGCATAATAAGCTGATGCTTTTGTCCCTCGTCGTCTCCCATTAGTTTTGTTGTTTTTGTTTGTTCTTTGTCCTTTTCATTCTGTTCTCCTCCTTGTATTGGCTGCCTCAGCGGCGGTGCGTTTGCAGTAATACAGCAGTAACTGTGCTACTGGTGGATGTCGAGAGTTTTAAAAGGTGTTCTCGGTTTTGCAAACAAAAAACCCTCAAATGTCACGGCCGGTAAGAGTTTATTAGGGCCATTGTCTCGGACAGATTGCCACAAACCGCGTCTGGGTTAATGCTTTCATTTCATTTCAACAATTTATAGAGATGGGCATTTTCAATTTCCCCCTATGGCCAATGGGGATGAACAAAGTATTTTTGTATTATATTTCTATTTCTACTCTAAAAGGCAGAAAAGGTAACCCAAGAATATCCTTATCTTTGATTCATGGGCTACTATAACCCTTTTATACATGCTCCAAGTTAAAATTCAGGTTGGTTTAATATCTGTTCGGTTCAGTTTCATTTATTTTTGGACATAAAAAATTCCCATGGTGAGACTTATATTGAACTTATAATTTAATTATCGATCAATCAAGCGTTTTGACTATAAAACATGTCAGAGCACATTTAATCTCTGTGCCTTTAAAACCACTTGTATTCATTCTTCCCCATCAGATAGACACTCAGAAAAGAAAACTTCATAATGGTACAGCTGTCTCTCTTCATCTAACATGACAGCTTTCTGGGAGGGGAAAGTCTTCATATTGAAGACCTCCATTTCACGTTTGGGCAGGGCGGTTTGTGTCGCGCCCGGAAAAAAAAAGTGACCGATAACCTCGGCAAAGCAACTGGAACAAAGGCTCCCCGCATGTTTCCCCTCACCTCATTAACTCTCACAAGCAACCGTGAAATATTGTTGGGGAATTAACATTTCTCAGCTCAGTGATTAGTTCCAGAGGAAGTAAAGGTCGGGCTGTGATTTACAGCTCGGCCCGCCTCCACCGTTTTCACCTGCGTGTTGTCAAACAGCCGCGTTGTTTGTTTTTGTACAGCAACTGGAGAACAGCCTGAACGAGTTTGGAGAAAAATGGGTCCTCAACCCGGGCGACGGCGCTTTTTACGGGCCGAAGGTGAGCCACGGCGTGTTGGCTGGTGTGTTTCCGCCAGGAGTCAGGAGGGTGGGCACTGACGGTCACTTTGTGTCCACAGATTGATATTCAGATCAAGGACGCCATCGGTCGATACCATCAGTGCGCCACAATCCAGCTGGACTTCCAGCTGCCCATTCGCTTCGACCTCAACTTTGTCAGGTGCTTTTTTTTGTTTACTTTTTTTTAAACTTTCTTAAAAAATAGATCTGTTTTTGCTGCAGTTGGTAATGTCAAATATGTTGTATAAATTTTAATTAATCCCCATCTACAATATGGGAATAAAAAGTTGAGTGAATTGAAAAATATATATCTAGCTTGGATTAAACATTAATGTATACAGTTGACCAAATTGGGCAGAAGGATAAAGACAAAGGACCACTAAGTTAGGACAAGCCATGATTTAAAAAGAGTCATTTCATTATGATGGATGCAGTAACCAAAAGAATGTGTGTGGATGATTAATATATTTTTTTAGAATATATTTTTTTCAATAAAATGCATCGCCAGTGTCTGAGAAATGTCACATCTCAACTACTCGTAATGAATTAATTTGTCGTGCCAATTATATGAAGTTTAATATTACAAGGCAAAAAACTTTTTATGTCCAATCAAATTCAAACAGTGTGTGTGTCAGTAGAAACTAATTCCCTGTAAAGCAGCTCATTCATGCAATTGATTTAGTTTTTTGTCAGCAGCTAATTGGGTCCAAAAAATCCGATCACCATCATTCAAAAGCTGCTATCTCCTGTCTAGTTCAGTTTTTTTTAAATGAACTTTTCTCTACTTTTTTGTTCTTAATGCTTTTCTTTCTTTACAATTTATTTTTGTGTGCTTTGAAAAATGTTTGCAGCCATGATGGGGACGACAAGAAGAAACCAGTGATCATCCACCGAGCCATCCTGGGATCAGTCGAGAGGATGATCGCCATTCTTACCGAAAACTACGGAGGCAAATGGTTTGTAAACAGCCTGGTAGGGTTCATTTGTCAAGCAGGACCAACCTTCCCCTTTCTTTTCCTTTTTTCTTTTCCAATTGCACTCCCTTTATTGAATTTTGAAATGATTTCCAGCTTTATTTGACAGCTATAGAAAAGCCTCCGCTTGTCGGGCTGTGTGTATTTGCAGAGCTCTCTGGCGTGTTGTGTCTGGCCGCAGACATAACTAAATGCTATTATGTCCCTTTCTGATTCAGGCCACTGTGGCTGTCACCCGGTCAAGTGATGGTTGTACCCGTGGGACCGACCTGTGAGGAGTACGCCGAGAAAGTGAGCACCAACCGCAGCCGCTTTAATGCCTAAACACTTAAATGGGAAAAATACCCCGAAGCTGTCGTGCACTTAAATATGGACTCTGCAAAACTGTCGACACGGCAGCCGGCCGTTTGCATCAGAAATTCATTTGCTTCTGTTTTCTTTTACCAACTGTTCTTCCTTCGGACCCGGGGTTAGCAAGCACTATGTTTCAGTTGGTAAAAAAACGATCGAATGGGTTCAGAGAAATCAGAATGGAGTTATGATGAGCTCTGAAAAGGTTTATCTTAGAAAACACACATGGGCTGCTCAGAGTTGGGGCACACATAAAAACCAAGCCTCTAAGTGTTCTGTACCAAATCAAAAAATACTAAAGGCACCTCTTTGGGGATGTTTATTTTAATTTCCGCAGTGACAGCAAAGTGTCAGCCTGTGTAGATCTGAGGCTTTTTCATGAACCTGTAAGGAAACTTAAGAGTTTAGCTTTGGAGGAGAGGGGTTGTCAGAAAAGTATTTTTATCTACAGACCAATATATTTCTATGATTTCAGTGTTAATGGCTTGTCAGCATAATTCTATCACAGTCCATAATTCCTATTTAAAAAGCCCAGTTTTTCCCTCAGTCATCAGGGGTTTGCTTTCAGTTCATTACCAGCAGAGACGGTAATTTAATCAATTGAGATTTATGCACCGTCCGCTATGCGTGGGCTTTTATAGTCTGAGATTTTAGTGAAGATATTTCTAATTGGGTTATTGTTCAGGGCGGTGAATGTAAGGGGGGGGCAGAAACATCAGAGCAGGGCAGGCGATCATCTGAGCCACACCGGAGTGCAAACATCTGTTTTTCATTCATTTTGATTTTTTTGTCTGTTGTGGAAAGTGTGAGTTTGTACAGAAGGTTTACAGTCCGGAAAAGTTGGTCCGGAAAATAATTGATTCCGCTCGTCTTTGTCTGGTTGATGCGACAGGTCAAGCAAGAGTTTCACAACAGCGGCTTCATGACCGACGTGGACCTGGACCCCGGCTGCACGCTCAACAAAAAGATCCGAAACGCACAGCTGGCGCAGTACAATTTCATCTTGGGTCAGTTTGTGTCTTTTTTTTATTTTTATTCTTTCCTTGTAGTCTTCTATGCAAGCATCTAGATATTGATTTTTTTTTTTTCTTTTGTCCCTCCCACTCTCTGCATGTCGTCCTTTTTCGGGGAAAGTGGTGGGAGAGAAGGAGAAGACGAGCAACACGGTAAACGTGCGCACCAGAGACAACAAAGTGCACGGCGAGCGCAGCGTGGAGGAGTGCATCGAGCGGCTCAAACAGCTCAAGGTGTCCAGGAGCCGGAACGCAGAGGAGGAGTTCTGAGCTTTCAGCGGGGGCCTCGTGGTTAGGGGCAGCTTCTGACGAGGGAGACAAACGCCAGCAAACGTTGCCTAGCGTTTGCTTTTTTTTTTTTTTTGCAACAATCAAAGATTTTCTCACACATTGCGCTATCTTCTTTTTTCCCATGTCTTCTTTCTGTAACTGTTTATGGTTAGCAAGTAACACAATGACTGTGGTCCCGTGCTGTTCCGACTAATGCGATGAGGTTGTTGAGCTGCTTTACAGAAGTGTACCGTAAATGAATCGATTACGTCATAGAACATGTCTCAAAACTGTTTCCCTAAATATGGAGACGATAAAAACAGAAGGGAAAACACTGTCTTAACTGTTTCTGTCGCTCGTTTTCATTGGGGGAAATTGTACATGGGATACAGTTTTGATAATTAAACAATCTATTCTTGATCATTGTTCTCTTGTGGTTTTGTCTTAAAGCAAATTGGGCTTAAGCCTGAGGCTGAAACGGGTCCAATTCCAATGATCTCTGTGAAACTTAAGGATCCAATACACACTGGAAAAGTTAAATATCGTCACACCTGTTATGAGAGCCAGTGTTAAAGGATCCAAGTGTGTCAGGTGCCTCTTTTTCTGATCAGGGAGTTATTTCAGAACAAAGAGGCTTGTCTTAGGAATACACAAAAAATGTGGGTTGTTTGGCATAGTATACATGACAGTAAGTGTCAGTTTGTTATGTTGTACAGCACAAATGTCTCTGGAACCTTACCTCATCCTCATTAATAATTGACCGGACACAGGTAGTTTCTAAAGTTTTTAAGACTCCCTCCCCTCCCAGATAAATCAGCAGCAACCACCTGCAGTTCGGTTTAGAAAGTACCTGTTTAAATCAAGCTTTTTAAAACAAGATCTCCAATTACTTTGAGCAGTACAGACAGAGCAAATTAGGATAGCATTAGGGTAGTTTGGACGATTTAGCACTAGAAAAGATATGTTCATGGGATTACTGTGTGTCAGAGACTTAAAAGTCTTAGTCATGATTGTCATGTTTACTGCCAATGTTTTAACTTCATAAATATATCTCGATACAAATGTATTTCTTCAAAAACTAATAGCCGTTTGGGGAAAAAAAAGGCATGTAGTTTTGCACAAATTCTGACTAGGATTTTGTGGCTACTCACATAAATACATAACAGTGAATATTTGTTTTATGGGTTTATATTGCTGATATAACAGGAGAATAAAAGTATTTTAGCCAGACTGTGCAAAAAACAAACAAAGTCCTATAAAATCTGACCACAAGGGGGAACAGCTGAACCAAGATCTTCTGTGTGGGGATAAGGGAACGGTGCTAATGTCACTGGAGTGTGGGATAGAAAAACATTTTGCTTAGGGGTTAATGAAAAAGTCAATGGAGTAGGAGAGTGTCAACAGAGCGAGTGAGACAGTCCGAAACCTCTGGGGATTCAGCCCTACTGTTAACTCTCTCTTTGTGAATCCTCACTCCCTCTTTTTCTGCCGGATCGTTCCTCCATGCCTGACTGATGACCTGACCACAAAGGGTCACGATGCTTGACTGAACTGAGCAAACCTCCTTTCTCGCGCAACACATGTGGGTTAAAGGATCGATTCACTCGTTTCCCTTCCAAGCTCTTTATAAAGAAGGTGCTGGAATAAGTCCCGTTGCGGATAACTTTAAAGCTACTTCTGATTTCATGCCGCTTTCTTTCCTGAAAAGCTTCGTTCTAGTCATGTTTTAAAAACACTAGGTCTCAAATAAGTTAAAGACAATGCATTTTCAAAAGTACAAGCAGTTGTAAATACCACATCCAAGACAAAGACTCATCACTAAAGTATTAAATACTTAAGTATTCCATATAAAGTAACAAACTTTACTAGTTAATGGCTTACATCTTGTTATCTTTATCAAACCACAATAATAAAAGCTGTTTAAGGTTTAAGGGGTTGCGTGAGCTTCTGAATACTTGCTTGTTATAATTGTCATTATTATTATCATTGTTATATTATTATTGTTGTTCCATCCACTTTTAGATTTAGAGCCTCTGATAAATGTTAAAGCCTGAAGTGAATTTCCGCATCACTGTTTTAGTTTTAAAAATAACATTTACCCAAATCTATGGTGAGATTTACTGTTGCTCCTTTTTCTTCCTCTGTGATAAGTTTTTTTTTTTTATTGTTGTTTATTTTCCTTAGTCACCATGACAACTGACAGCAGCCCTCAGCCTCTGATGTGAGTAAAGTTTTCTCAGCAGTGACAGTGAAGAGTCAAAAAAGCGTCTCGTGTGACACACTCATGTTCCTACTCACTCCCCTCCCTTTCATCCACGACTCATTTTGCTTCTGGGCCAAACAGATGCATTTTTGACTCCTTACCAACCGGGTTTTCTTCTCCAGAATACTTCTCTGTCTCTGGAGAAACGCCTATCACCCCTGCCACACACACACACACTCACACACACTCACACACACACACACACACGCACACACACACCATAACTCCTCTGCATAAATGAAACAGAACCCCCAAATTATGGTCAGCCGCTCATGAAGTTAGTTTTGCTTGGGAAAACCAATGCTGCCAGCTTTAATATCATAATGTTACCAAATTATATGCTTCTAATTGGGAACTGTTTGATCACACTTTCTGGCAGCTGGAAATCGAGCGTGTGACCTTAACAGGCTTTTTTTTCTCTCATCTCAATAATGTGACCCCTGTTTCTGACCCGGCATAAATTAAGAAAACCGCTCTACACTGAGGAGAGGCCTTTGCCACCGGTCACACCCTCCATGTAGCCAACAGAATCAATTCACTGGAGATGTGTGTGACGTAGGGCTGAAAGATAAGCATACACAGTAAACTGCATGGTAATCAGAGATTATAGATAATTCTGGACTGTATCTTTAGTTAAAATTTTAGATAAATGTCTTATAAAGCACAGTCAACAGTTTTTTTATTCGTAGTTTACCATCAAATGTATATGTTAAATATTATACTTTCAGCAATTATTTCTACCTCTTCTAAACAAACGTAAAAAATACTGAGATCGTTACCCTAACCCTAAAAGTTACTTTGGTTATATGAATGTGTGATGCAGCGGGTGGTAGCAACCGTAGACTGTAACCAAAACCAAGTGGAGGGTGCTGTTTTCAAGTGCACAAACCTAAACATGAAGAACTGACCCCTTTTTTTGCAGCTTGAAAAAGACAACCGACGACCAACATCTGGATCAGCTTACAGTTTACGAGAGCAGATACACATTTTACCACTTTGCGCACAGCTAAAAATTGCTAATGAATGATCAGTTTAGAACAAACCTGGTCCCAAATGCCATTCTGGAAAAAAAAAAAAAAAAAACCGCCCCACCCTGCGAGTTGACAGCACTGGTTCTTAGGTTTGTTGGTTACGAAAAGTCAAAAGGTTTGAAGCCGTTGGTCTCATAGAACTTGTGAAGTAATGTATGGCTGTGGGATGTCTGCTATGTTTGGCCTACGGGTGGGCGAGCTGGCAGCTATTCATTAAGGAGAGGCACATTTTGATGTCATACGTTGTTAGAGGGTTAGAAACGTTAATACAAACCCTGAAATTGAATAAACTTTTAAAAAGCCTATCCCCGATGACACTGGGTGACAGTTCCAGACACTCACTAACCCTTATCCTAACCCTCAGGTCAATTTAGAATCCCCGGTTAACTAAAGGGGCATGTTTTTGGACAGAGGGAGGAAGCCAGTGTACCTCAAGAGAACCAGTGCATTTACAGGTAGAACATGCAAACGTCAAAGAGAAAGGCCCCCAGCCAGGATTCCAACCGGGAACCCTCTCACTGTGAGGCAACTGTGCCAACAAACCACATCACTCCAAATCTAACAACCCCTCCAAAAAGTGGATTCTTTTATCCATTAAACCAATGCACCAGTCAATCGTTCCAAGGTGGAAATGCTTAGCCAGATGGTGCTAAGTGGTTGTTTTACTCACTTTAGCCTCGAACAAAGACCAAATAAACAAGGTAAAAAGTTAAAAACCGCATTTTCACAGGAGCCGGTTTTTAATTGTGGAATTATTCTTAACAGGACCACCAACTCACTGATCGAAAACCAGCGAATGAAACGGATTACATAACAACGAATTGCGTAAAATAGATAAACATTTCATAACGCATTTCTGAAAGGCCCTTTTGTTCCACATGTCAGGTTAAGCGATTGCCCTTCTCTTATTGCTTATCGACACATGGATTAAAACACTAATAATGAGCCAACATTTGTATTTAGTTCAGACAAACTTTTATGCTTTAGACTACTCCATCCTGACCATTATGAACCAACCCACCAGAAAATATTTGCACAAATGTGGAGTTGCAGCTCAACATAGCAATTAGCCTCTGACACTTCAAACCCCTAATGCCTTTTCAGCACATTTTAATTTTCGAGCACAACAACCCGGCATCACAGAGGCAGCCACTTTTTTTTTTAAACATACTTTTTATGCAAAAAAATACTTTAAATCGCCCATATTTACAGCCCACCTTCCCTTCATTCCTGTGTGTGTTGAAGTTGGCTCAGTGCAGTGCTCTAGCATGAATCAAGCAACCTCATTACAGCAAAGCAAAAGCCCATTACTCTGTTCTGCCCACAGGGAATAACACCTTTTTCTTCATCAAGCAGCAAATAAGCACTGTTACCCGTACTTTCCATTACTTTGCACCGCACCACCTTTTGCAAAACAACTAATCACTCACTTAACTTGCATAATTTTGAATAGATTTTTCAATCCCTACTCAAGCATATGAGCCCACATGAGCATTAAAGGAGATATTTCCGTATTTTTTCATTTTTTTTTGCAAATACAGATATTTAATCAAGGGTGCGTTTAATTTTTTTTACATCAACGCTCCCATTCCAGTGCTGTGGACATGTTTCAGAGTACTTTGCAACCGTGAATTCCTCCTTTCTCGCCTCGCTTTAACCTAAACACAGTCACATCCTTATACTGCAGCTGGCCAGATGTGTGGGCTGGATGCTCTCCACAGTGGAGGCCTCAGTGGCCTGCATGGCTGTTATTTGTCTAAATTCTATTTTTCTTTTTCACAGCTTTTTTTTTTTTTTTTTTTTACTTCTTCCCTTCTGCTCTCAGGGGGTGGTTTACTTTAGCCCTCAAAGAAGGAGGTGCAAAAGGGTGGGCTTTGCCAGCTTACCCACAATTCACCAGCGGCTGACCGAGTTGATGAAGTTGAAGCTGACAGCTGCATAAATCACCAGCTCGTGGTGCTAATAGGTGGCAGTGTAAAAATCCAATGGGGACCACCCATGCTGCAGAAAATAAAAAGGAGCATCAAGTCATATCTACCGTGCAGTACTGTACAGCCATCCGAAACACTTAACCCCCCCCCCCTTTGGTTGCCCAAGCTGTTCCAGTCCAAGAGGCTCTCTAAGCA